TTTTGTTGTAATGTTATATTTTAACTTAAATAAATGTAAATGTATTCACCGATCTGGTGGAAGGTCTTGGTCCTTTCCCTTACTATGAGTTCACTGGAAAGGTTCCAAAGCTACATTTTTTTTTTTTTTTACCTATACCACACCCATAAGATCTTGTTTTTCATTTCCAATTTTTCTTTCCTTGTAGTGAGTGAGAACTTACAGACAGTCGTGAACAAAATACTGTAGATTTTATTATTTTTCCCAATCTTTCCTCATTAACTAATTGATCATTACTGAGTCTTTTCAAAGCATTATTCCATTTATATTACATTTCATTTTAATAATTCTCTCTCCAGACTCATGTTTCATTAGTTATTGTAATACTGAAGTAAACTGTGTAATTTGAATAATGAATAAAACTGGCACAAACGTTCAGGAACAAACAATTCTGACTCTAAGAAGTTGAGAAGAGTCAGCTCTTGGGGGAAGAGATGGGCCAGCACCAGTGGACTTGGGTTTGGCCTATGGAGTTGTGTCTTTACCAAGGAAACAAGAGCATGGGTTTCTCCTATGGTCACTTAAGTGGAACTTGGCTAAAGGAACACCCACCATAGTTTTCACTAGTTAACTGTTAATATTAAGCAATGTCTTTGTAAACAATGCCTATTATCAGTCCCCGGAAAAAATTTAAATTATATCTGTCACACTTATACTTAGAGTTTTAAAGTCCCATCCTCCTTACCCCAACAAATCCAGAGTCTATCAATTTGCCTTATTCAAGCACGAAGTTTGGGTTCATATCATCCCTCTTCTAAGTCCCTAAAAGACCCAATTTCTCACCAGGGTTGCCTCTCAAAATGGGAAGGAAGGGCTGGATAAATACATAGAAACTCAATGTTTGTTTTCTTCTGGGCACTTAACAAACATCAGAAGCTTTCCTATTTTTTTTTTTTTTTTTTTTTTTTTTTTTTGTTTCCCATGATTTGAAGGTACATTCTGTGAGAGATGCGACCTCATCTGTTTCATCCACCCTTGGATTCGTGGCACACCTAGCATAGCACCTGGCACAGAGGAGCGACACAATAAATGTGAAATGAGTGACTGATTTCATCTGGCTGCCCTGAGTATACACACACTGATTTGATCTCACTTAATTACTTTTTTTTCCTTTTTAAGTTAAATTTCTCCACTGTTAAAAGTTTTCCAATTGGCAAAAATGCAGTCTACAGAAGGTTAGATTCCAATCTTATATACACATCAGGTCAGAAAATTACTTTGCTCCAGAAAATAAAAAGCACAACCACTAGAGCCGTGAATTGGTTACACTCATGGGTTGTACCAAGGGGTTTCATATGGCCATTCAGACCTAGCCTTAATAAACAATCTTGTATATCCACATATGACAGCAGCCAGTCACTCACAAGGTAACATTGTCCCAGCAAGCACACTTCCTGTCACTTCTCATCCCACCTACAATTCCAAGGCTGTCATCAGACCATCCATTATGGGCCATGACCAAACTGCCAAAAAATGAAGAAATAAAGAATCTGTGCTTTAAAACTTTGTTTTGTTAAGTAAATGTTTTGTTCAGGCACACTTCGATTTGTAACCGAAAAGAGGAAGGCATGATGAAAGAAATTTTTGTTATAACAGATTAATGAAAAAACCAATTATATTATAGATGAAATGAACAACTCATTTCCAGAGACAAAATGGGTAATAGAGAGCTTCCTCAGATGAAAGAAAAATGAAAGGAAGGAAGAAAAAGAGAAAGAAAGTAACAAAGAACTATGTTTGCTTTGTCAATTAAAAATAGAGTCAAGATTTCACACTGGCCCAACAGGGTGAACATGGCCCCCACTGGGTCAACATGGATCCCACAGGGTGAATATGGATCCCACAGGGTGAACATGGACCCCCACAGGGTGAGCATGGCTACCACAGGGTGAACATGACCCCACAGTGTCAACATGGCCTCTCACAGGGTGAACATGTCCCTCCACAGGGTGAACATGGCTCCCATAAGGTGAACATGGACCCCACAGGGTCAACATGGACCGCACAGGGTGAAAATAGCCCCCACAGGGTGAGCATGGCCCCCACAGAGTGAACATGGACCCTAAAGGGTGAACATAAACCCCACAGGGTGAGCATGGACCCCACAGGGTGAACATGACTGTCATCTCCCTTTAAGCACAACCTTTCACACAGCCTCCCAAACGACAACAATAGAATTTGTCTCAGATCTTCCCTCATCTGCACATTCAGCCATTAAAACCATCAAGAACTACCTTTAAAATGTCCTGCAAATTTAGCCCTTCTGCATCCCATTGATATTGGTTCAGGCTTTGGTGTCCATAGCTATGGGCTGTTACAACAGCTCCAAATGGTATGCCTAAGAGTGGTCCCTGTGCTAATCCATCTCCGTGCTGCCACCAGACGTCCCTCTCACCCAAGATTCTTGGCATCCACTTCTACTTCCAGATGGTTCAACTCATCTCTGAAGTCTCATCTCTTGTCTTCTTACAACCACACTCTCATGCTTCATGCACAATCAGGAAATAGTGGGCTGTAAGAGTCTGAAGCTCAGTGAAGTTCTACAAATGTATAGATTTATAAATATAGTACTTACTTATTCTTAGTAGTTCTATAGTGAATACTGTGGTGCACCATCCAGTTTCTCCCCACTCCCTGCCCTTTCAAGACCATGATGCCCATTCCTCCACTTGTTCGCAGCTGAACTCCCGTCCAAAGGAGTTGCCTCACACAACCTTATGTTCCCTCCCGGTCAGCAGCACACGTGACTGAAGCAGGACACAAAAGCCCAGACCCCTTGCCTTGATAGGGAAATAACTCTGAAGGGTTATCTCAGGTCCGAAGCTTCCCGTGGAATAGGCTGAGCCTTCTGTTGTGACTATATGATAGTTCAACTACTTTCTCTGCCCAAACCCACATCCCTCACTTCCAGGGAGCATTTCCCAATGAACTTCTTACATGGAAATTTCAGTCTCAGAGTCTGTTTCCAGGAAACACATGAAAAGAGAGTTTATATCTTTAAACTTAAAAATACATATATATTGTTTCATAATTAGTGACTTTAATTTTAATTAATGTTCATTATTGCCTATTAAGCATCTTCAAGGTTCTGTTTTTATTCAGAATGTTTAAAAGAAAAGAAAGGACATCTATATCTTTAAAAAAAAACTATTAATTATCCAAAATCTATAAAGAGCTTATCACACTCAACATCCAAAAAACAATCCACTTAAGAAATGGCAAAAGACATGAATTTATTCACATTTTTCCAAAGAAGACATCCAGATGTCCAAAGGACACATGAAAAGATGCTCAACATCACTCATCATCAGGGAAATACAAATGAAAACCACAAGGAGATACCACCTTAGACCTGTCAGAATGGCTAACATTAACAACTCAGGCAACAACAGATGTTGGCCAGGATATGAAAAAAGAGGAACCCTTTTGCACTGCTGGTGGGAATGCAAACTGGTGCAGCCACTCTGGAAAACAGTACGGAGGTTCCTCAAATAACAGGAATACCCTATGACCCAGCAATTGCACTACTAGGTATTTATCCAAGGGATACAGGTATGCTGTTTCAAAGGGACACATGCACCCCAATGTTTATAGCAGCACTATCCACAACAGCCAAAGTATGGAAAGAGCTCAAATGTCCATTGACTGAAGAATAGATAAAGAAGATGTGGTGTGTGTGTGTGTGTGTGTGTGTGTGTGTGTGTGTGTGTATATATATATGTATAGTGGTGTGTATATATATATATACACACACAATGGAATATTACTCAGCAAATCTTACCATTTGCAATGATGCGGATGGAGCTAGAGTGTTTATTATGCTAAGTGAAATAAGTCAATCAGAAAAAGACAAATATCATATGATTTCACTCATATGTGGAGTTTTAAGAAACAAAACAGATGAACATAGGGAAAGGGACAGAAAAATAAGATAAAAACAGAGAGGGAGACAAACCATAAGAGACTCTTAAATATGGAGAACAAACTGAGGGTTGCTGGTGGGATGCTGGGTGGGGGGATGGGCTAAATGTGCAATGGGTATTAAGGAAGGCACTTGTTGGAATGAGCACTGGGTGGTTGTAAGTAAGTGATGAATCATTAAATTCTATTATTCCTGAAACCATTATTACACTATATGTTAACTAACTTGGATTTAAATTTAAAAAAATTATAAAAGATTAAAAAATTGTTTAAAAATTAAAAAAAAAACTCGGGGCGCCTGGGTGGCGCAGTCGGTTAAGCGTCTGACTTCAGCCAGGTCACGATCTCACGGTCCGTGAGTTCGAGCCCCGTGTCGGGCTCTGGGCTGATGGCTCAGAGCCTGGAGCCTGTTTCCGATTCTGTGTCTCCCTCTCTCTCTGCCCCTCGCCCGTTCATGCTCTGTCTCTCTCTGTCCCAAAAATAAATAAACGTTGAAAAAAATTTTTTAAAATTAAAAAAAAACTATTAATTAAAAAAATGGGGGTGCCTGGGTGGCTCAGTCATTTAAGCATCTGACCCTTGATTTCTGGTCAGATCATGATCTTACATGTTGTGAGTTTGAGCCCTGTGTGGAGGCACTGTGCTGATAGCTGGTTGGGATTCTCTCTCTCCCTCTCTCTTTGCCCCTCCCTCTTTCTTTCTCTCAAAAATAAATAAACATTTTTTAAAAACCTATTAATCCTCATCCATCTCCACTATCAGATATTGCTTAAAATGTTGGAGGCAGAACTCTCAAACTTGACTTTCTCGTTTCCCAGCTTTGTAACATTAGTAGGTTACATATCCCCTCTGTATCTCAGTTTCTTCATCTGTAAATTGGGGATAATAATTAACAAATTGTTACTCAATGGATTGTCGTGGAAATTAAATGAGCTATCATATCTCAAGTATTAAGAATGGTGCCTAGCCAAAATTGAGTGTTTAAATTCGTTGGGGTAATATTAACTGCTATAATAAATAAAGCTAAAATTGTCCACTGATTCAAACACAACAGATATTTATTCCTCGTTTATGTAACATTCCGAAGTGTTCTTTGTCAACTGGGGCAAATTTTCTCTACATGGCTTTACCAGGTTCTACATTAAAGGATTCCCATTTATCTCCAATACATGGCTTCTCCATCCCTATTAGCCAGAAAAAGGAAAGAACAGAGAGGAGTGTACATGGGAAATTTCTATGGGTCACACTTGGAATTAGAGCTCATTATTTCTGCTCACATTCTACTGTGTAGAACATAATCACATGGCCACACCTAACTGCAAAGGAGCCTGGGAAATGGATTTTAGTGACTGCATAAAACTTTGCTAAAGTAATCATCATTATTATTGCTCTCATTTATTACCAACTTTCTAGCTTGGGCTCTCATCTTCATGCACCTGGAAAGTCATAATAGCTTCCTCACTAGTCTTCCTGCCACCAGACTGTCCCCCCTCCCTATACCCTTTCTCCACACCAAACCCAGAGTTATTATTATCTAAAATCCAAACCTGGGGCGCCTGGGTGGCGCAGTCGGTTAAGCGTCCGACTTCAGCCAGGTCACGATCTCGTGGTCCATGAGTTCGAGCCCCGCGTCGGGCTCTGGGCTGATGGCTCAGAGCCTGGAGCCTGTTTCCGATTCTGTGTTTCCCTCTCTCTCTGCCCCTCCCCCGTTCATGCTCTGTCTCTCTCTGTCCCAAAAATAAATAAACGTTGAAAAAAAAATTAAAAAAAAAAAATAAAATAAAATAAAATCCAAACCTAATCATCTCACTCACCATTCCCCAACTGCCCGCTTATGTCCTTCTGTGACTTCTCACTGCCTCAGAATCCAGTCAGAGTCCTTGCAATTCCTCCAGGATCCAGCCAATATATATCCCTTTGGTCTCACCTCCAGGACCTTTTTATCTTACAGCTGGCATCTGTGACTGGACACTGTGGATACTCTAGTGGATAAGGTAGACAGGACCCTGCCTTATGGACTTTACATTTTAGTGAGGTAAGCAAAACCAGTAAACAAATAAATATACAATATTAAGTAGTAAAGACTATAGTGAAGAAAAATAAAGGTTAAGGACATTAAGGACATTAAGAGTGATGAGCTAAATAAATAGATAAATAAATAACATATTAAATTTTACTGGCAGGTGAAAGCTATTTCACAGAGAGATATGTTGTGGACTTGATCTTCACTATAGTTACCTTTGTGACTGCATATTACAAAAGAGTTCTTATCACTGACCTATATTTGTGTTTCTTTGAACTTCTTTTATGACAGTTATTCAGGGAAACAATATAGATTGCCTAATGTGCTATTTGTGTGGGATACTGACAGAATAACATAATTTATTATTGCCCACTGGGGAGTTAGAGTACAAAGGGCTCATGTTTCCCCCTACAATCTTCTTTGCAGAAAAAATCAACATAAAAATATTTAATAAAATCAGGTTTTACTCAAGTATATAAAACTTTCATTTTTTTAAATTGCCTAGACAATGTTATTGTCACTTTGGGTAATTTTTAAAATGTTACATTCGTGATGTTCCTGCCACCTTACTGGATTTAGATTTTCAAATTCGGGAGATGTGAAGTTAAAGATTTTCCTGCAGATGCTGTTCATTTAATCAAGGTAAACAGACTTAGATCTTTAATGGTCAAATATGAGCATGTGCTATGATGTGACATACATATAAAGCTATGAATTCCTCTCAGAATCCTCTATTTAAAAATTGGAACTTTTTTTAAATGTTTATTTATTTTTGAGAGAGAAAGAGAGCACAAGGGTGTAGGGAAGGTGGCGGGGCGGGGGGGGGGGGGTGCGGAACAGAAGATCCAAAACGAGCTCTGTGCTGACAGCAGAGAGCCTGATGTGGGGCTCAAACTCACAAGCTGCGAGATCATGACCTGAGCCAAAGAAGCTTAACCACCTGAGCCATGCAGGCACTCTAAAATCTGGAACTTTCAATTTATGATAGCAAAAGAAAGTTGCAAACAATTTAATTGTCAAATAGTTGGAGAATCTTTAAATAACAATTGGAGTACTATACTGTCATCAAAACTCAAGCTTTTGTAAAATACTTAAGAGCATGGAAACATAGGTGGGCTATATAACCAGGTGAAGAGAATGTAAGAGTGTAAAGAATGTAATTGTATGAATCTGGTTTAGAAAACTGAAAATAACCTAAAAGAAGTCAACAGACTGGCAGTCCAGAATGGGTATGGTTAGCATTACAAAATTATCAGAGACCCAGAGCCTTCAACATTGCTACTCTCCTTTCCTTACCAGGTGACTTCCAAACCATGGCTCAAGGTGGTTGCTTGAGCTCCATCTGTTACACCTACATCCCAGTCATCAAAAGGAAACAGGTAAAAAAGGGGCATGCCTCTCATGGCAGACAGAATAATGGCCCGCTAAAGATGCCATGTCCCAACCCCTGAAACTGATAAATATGTTACCTTACACAGAAAAGGGGACTTGGAAGACATGAATAAGTTAAAGATCTTGATGGGGAGTTTATCCTAGATTATCAAGTGGCCCCGATGTAATCACAAGGATCCTTATGAAGGGCAGCAGAAGGGTGAGAGTAAGAGGAGATGTGACAATGGAAGCCGAGGTCAGAGTGATGCGAGAAAGGGGCCCAGAGCCAAGAAATGAATGTAGCCTTTAGAAGCTGGAAAAGGGAAAGAAAGTCTATCCTACAGCCTCCAGAAGGGACACAGCCCTGTCAACTCATTTTAGACTTCTGACCTCCAGAACTATAAGACAAGAAATTTGTGTTGTGCTAATCTCCTAATTTTGCAGCAATTTCTTACAGCAGCAGTGGGAAACTAATACATCCTCCCTTAACTTCCCAAGGAAGAAGGTAAAAATAGATAATCGGACACAGTTAACATATTCTGCCACATTTCCTTTAAAAATATATATATTCCAAAGGAAATAGGTTATGTTTTTCTAGAAGTCTTGGGTTTCAAAATGGAACCCCAAACTCAATTCTAAATTACATAAGGTTAAGCAAGGGGAGGAGAGGTTATTTACAATATATTTGAATCTCACCCCATTAAGGAAGAAGTATAGGATAAATTGTATATCCATAGGGCTTGTAACCAAGGACATGTCCAATGTCAGCCCACTCCCCCCTTCTCTCTCTCTCTCTCTCTCTCATTCTCTTTCTTTCACTTCCCTCTGCTTTTCTCTGTTTCAGTTCATTCTCATCTACTGAAAATGGACCTTGCTCATATGTTGAGAACCAAGGGAGTGGGCATCCAACTTAAAGACCTTCATCTCATCATTCATTCATTTGCCACGTGTTTGTTGAGTCCCTACCATGTGCTAGGCCAGTGAACAAGACAGACAAGTCCTGGCCTCATTCTGTTAGATGATACGGATAATAAACAAATACATAAATCAAGATCCTTAGAAACTAGGATCTTGTTTTTCATTGTTTATTAGGTATGATGATGGAAATGTGCAGAGAGATGAAATACAGAGTAACTGGGGAGACCTCAATTTATAGTGGGTGGTCAGGGAAGGCTTCTCTGAAAAGCTGACATCTAAGACCCCATAGATAAATAAAGCAGACATGAGCATGATCCAGGGGGCCTCAAAGACCCCACGATAGCTTCTTGAAGCAACAGAAGGGAGACCAGCATACCCAGTGCCAAGTGAGCATATGGGGATGGTAAAAGATGAGGCTAGGTGCTACATCCAACAGAACTTCATGGATACATCTTGGTTTTTCTAGAAGAGTCCTCACTATACCTGTGTCCCCACCATAAATACTAAGAGCCATCCCAGGTTGGAAGCTAAATTTTTCAGTCACCTTGCATATGCAGCTACGGGAGTCAGGATTTTTTTTTCCTGAGAGAAACAACAGAAAGGCATTGACAAGTTTTGAGCAGGGCAATACCAAGATCTGATTTATATTTAATATCACTGGAAACCAGAGAATGAGTTAATAAATACAGCAAGTTAAATATGTCTACATTTGGAGTACTGATGTTTGTAAATAGAAATCAATATCGAGGTAAAATAAAAAGAGGTATAATTCATGACGTAGCATAAGGCATAGGTATACCCTCACCAACGTCATGAACACATAGGCCTTAAAACCACCACTCTGCTTGTGATGCTTCCTCCTTCTCTTAAACTCAGAAGCACTTTCTGAGGCAGAACATAGCTCCAGCTTTCTGGGTTTCATAGCAACTTGGCAGTGCAATGCTTCTAGGCTGAAATCCCGACTTCCATGGATTCATGCTGTTTCAGCCACAAATATTTACCTTACCTGGCTCCTGGGGCTAATTAAAGGGGCAGGGCTCCATTCCACTTGGCTTTCCCCTAAATTGCTTTCAGAGTCAGAGGCAGCTGCCGGATGAGAATGACAGCTCTATAATTCATCTCTACATCCACACAGTGACTCGCTCACAAACGTCCTTTTCAAATTAGGAAATACCCTGCCCTTGCCACTTTCCTACTGGATTTGAAACTGCATGTCCTTACAATGATTTCTCCTAGCTTGCAGCTGCCTCTAGAGCTACTAAGAGCTTACTGTACCATTTAGGACGCTGTTTCGTTGCAAGTATTTATTCTTATTGTAAAAGTTATACATGTTTACTGTAAAAGATTCGAGAAGGTGAGAATTGAAAAGTGAATTTTTCCCTCTCTGCTCCCTCAGCCCCTGTCACAGACCCAATGAATGAATGCCTTTCTCCTGGTAACCTCTGTTAATCAGTTTTGGCCATTTTCTATGCATATACATGAAAACAGAGAAACCTTTATTGGCATTTAAATAGGTTGTCCCACAGGCTTTAAAGCGATTTCATGATAACAAGTAAGTCCAGATTTGGTAAACCATGAAATGGTATCACGGTTCGTTGGCAGAAACTGAAGACTCCGTTCTTCTCACAAAGCAGAATAGTGGAGTTAATCCTGGTTACACTTCGGAACAGGGTCAAGGTACCAAATTCAAATCATCAGGCCCAGGAAGAAACCAGACAGGAAGTAAGTTTGCAACTCTGAAGACAGACTCAGAGCTCTAGTGGGGGATGACCATAGATGGAGAAGCTGGAAATCGAGTCTGAGCAGGAGCTCAGAGGTCAGGGTCTTGTCCAGAGGGGTGGAGAAGCACCGTGGACTCTACTGTGGTCACTGGGGTAATGGAAGGTAGCAGAATCGGAGAAGCCAGGAAGGCAAGATGGGTTTTCCTTAGTGGGAAAGTGGAGATACTGCTGGGAAAACAGAACACATCCACAGAGCGAGAGGACAGAGGAGGGCATCCCTCTGGGGGGTTAGGAGGCTGAGAATCATCATGAGAGAGAGAGATGGAATCTCCCTCTGAGGGACTTTGGATAAGTTCTAATAATATTATATGTTGCCTTTCAAGTATTTCTCTTTTGTATTGTTTATGTTGGTAAAGTACACATAACACCACTTTAACCATTTTTTAATGTACAGTTCAGTGGCTTTAAGTACATTCACACTGTTGTGCAGCCACCAGCACATCTCCAGATCTCTTTTCATCTTGCAAAAACTGAATCTCTGTCCCCCTGAAACATGGACTCCCCGTTCCCCACTCCTCCCGCTCCTGGCAAGCACCATTCTACTTTCTGACTACTCTAGGGGCCTCCCTAGGGGTTGAATCATACAATATTTGGCCTTTGGTGACTGGCTTACTTCACTTAGCATAATGTCTTCAAGGTTCATCCATGTTGTAGAATGTGTCAGAATTCCTTCCTTTTTAAACCGAATAATATTCCATTGTATGTATCTGTCACTTTCTTTATTTACTCATCCATTTATTCATGGATACTTAGGGTTACTTTTCCACCATCTGTATATTGTGAATAATGATGTTATGAATATGCGTATGCTTTCAAGTATTTTTCTGAATGAAATATTTCAAGTCACGGAAGACGAACAGGGTTTCTTGTTTGTTCTGTTTTTGTGTGTTTTCCTTTAAGGAGAGAAGGGCATTCCCAGGTGAGGGAGAAGCATAGATGAAATTGTGGAATGGAGAGGCATAGCTTGACCAATGAAGGGCAGGAGGCTCCATGGGGCAGCAGCATGGAAGGGGATAGAGTGAAAGGTGAGGTAAGAAACATGGGCAGGGCAGGTGAAAGTACAGAAAATAATAGAATATGTTTACCACCCAGTTGTGTCATATGTTAATATCCTGCCATATTCTCTCAATTTTTAAAAGAAATACAGTATTTTGGATACAACTGATGCTCCCTGCACAACCCCCCATCCGAATTTCCACTCCCCTTTGCAATGGTACCCACTTTCCTGAATTCCAAGTTTTATGTGTTCCATGCTTTATGATTGTACTACATGTGTAAATCATGTGTTTTCATGCTTTTAAAAATGCTTTTAAACTTTATTATATGAATGGTATCATACTTTGTACACATCCTTTTCCACCTTTTTCCCCATTAACATTATGTTTTGAGGATTTGTCTAGATTATTTCATATTCGAATTCCATTGCATGAATATTTCACACTGTATTTTTCCACCTTTACAAGCAACACTACAATGAACATTCTTGTACATTTTCCTTGTAGGACTTTAGGCTGTGGACCTAGATGTGGAATTGCTGGGTTCGAGGGTAACATGTATCTTCAACTTTATTTGTAAAGTAAAATTGCTCTCCAACTAAGCAGTTGTATCAATTTACACTTCCATAAGCAGTATACAGTTGTTTCCATTTTGCCCCACTCTCTGCCAACAATGAACATTGTCATATTTTTTTTTAAGTTGCCAAAATAGCACAGTTGGTTAAGAGCCCAGTTTTTGAGCATCACTCTTGGTATCCAAATCCTGGCTTTATCACTCACTAGTTGTATGAGCTTGGGTCCTATTTTCCCTCTCTGGAAGAGGAAAGAGTTGGTAGTACCAACCTCATGCATTTATTGCAACATTTCAGTGTGTTAACACATGGAAAGCATCTAGAACCATATATGGTTAGTGCTCAATAATGTCAGCAATATGCATCAGAATTTTTGAATTGGCCATTCAAGTCTTGTCTTCTGTAAACTTCTTATTCTTTCCCTTACCCTTTTCATATTGATTTGTAGGTATTCTTTAAATCTCCTGAGTAATAATCATTTGTATTTATTATATGTTCCAAATATCTTCTTTTGGCCCATGTCTCATCATTTTAGTTTTTATGGCATATTTTGTCATTAAGTTTTTTTAATTAAAAAAAATGTTTTTAATGTTTTTATTTATTTTTCAGAGAGAGACAGAGACAGAGCATGAGCAAGGGAGGGACAGAGAGAGAGGGAGACACAGAATCCAAACTAGACTCCAGGCTCTGAGCTGTCAGCATAGAGCCCGAAGTGGGGCTGGAACCTGTGAACCATGAGATC